GAAAGCCACTATAGTGAAATAGGAAAATAGAATAAAGTCCTAATTAACGAAATAAATACAAAAAGATAAGAAAGAAAGGGAAAAAAGATGTATGAAAAAGAAACCCAGATGCTAAACATACCTGTAAAACCGTGGATCTAAATGGGGTAAATGAGGTAGCGAGTAGTTTGATTACGTGAGCAAGTTAAAGGGTTAACTGCATAGAAAGAAGTCTTGGAAGAACAGTTACATGAAATTACAGTATGACACAGTGTGAGAACATTAGGGATTCTAAATAAAGTACAGTAGTAAAAATAAATGTATACTAATGTGGCTACCCTAAGTAAATGTTCAAATAATTGTAGAGTACCGTATTTTCCGGCATGGAAGACGCACCCTAATATTGGAAATAAATTTCTAAGAAAAAAAAAAAGTCATTCTCAGATAACAACACATTCACCATGCGTCACTCACATACTTACGCTAAGTATTGTTTACATTAACCACTCATCCGATTTTGTTTGAATGGCAATGACATACTAGTCAAAAGCAGGAAGCCTCCCGCTGCTGCGAGTAAACAGAGCATGTTTAAGCTTGTGCTTCGGCTCCAGGAAGGTTTATAGTTTTCGAAATACTTGTAACAGCTAAATACTGAGGTTACATCATATAAAAGGTTGAATTAGATAGATAGCTAACATTATAGTGTAATGACTCAACATACAAATCCACGTCCCTATCAGTCAAGCCAATTAGGTGACCGTCCAAGCTTAATTGAACCTGGGCATTGCCTTACATTCATCTTGGAAGACGCACACGTAATTTTCAGGGTATTTTATAGGAAAAAGAGTGCGTCTTGTAAGCCGGAAAATACGATAATTGCCCATGGTTAAATAAACGTAATTGGCAAAAATGCCCAACAAACAGAATTAGCAAAGTTTGCAATAAGCAATAACAAGAGAAAGAAAAGAGAATAAAAGAACAGAGCAAAAAATGATCCTAAGCAAATAATATGCACAAGGCAAAAGTACAGCAATAAGGCAAATACTAATAGGGAAAAAGGTTTACAGACTAAGAATGGTGTTAAGACATAAGAGGGGAAACAGACAAGCGATCGCAGCATTTTGGCTTCAAGATCCGAAAGAACAGAACTACAACCTTATGTAAATTAATTGAAACAACAACTTTAGTTTTCTTTTTTTCATCATACGATCAGTTTTAGACCCACAGTTAGTGACAGGGTGTAATCGATTTCTACTTTTCCTCAGATTAGGTCATTTGCTGTGGTGTGCAGAAAAAAGAACCTATTTTCGGGATGTATGATGAAATTTGTTTGGCCTTGAAAAATATTGCGTCATCCGTGATTGCATCAGATTTTTTTATCACGCCCAGGCACTATTGTTTCGACTGTCGATTAGTTGTCCTATGTTCTGCGATGGACGTTACTCCAAGAAAGCGTACGAAAATGGTAACGCTGTTCGAACACACTTGCAAGACTTACCAGTGAGCAAATCAAAGTACTAAAGACTGGCCCGGAAACTCTCCTGATTTAAATCCAATCGAGAATTTGAGGTCAATCTTCAAGGAACGATTTCATGGAATGGAAATACGAATTACTAACATGTGCACTGGATCGTGTTTAATTGGAAAAATGCGGAAAAAAAATAATAACGGAATTATGCGTTTTGTTTCAATTAATTTGCATAAGGGTATAAGTCGAATGAGACTGAGAAGTGTCCTATTTCATTGGCTAGGGAGAAATCCCAGCATGCATCGGTGTGTTTTGTCTATGAATTTGGGAAGGGGGAAATTTTTGCAGTCATTTCTATGGAATTATAACCAGCAATAATAATACATTAAGAGCGACCAATTCTTGGAGAAAAAAGGTTAAGAACTTACATGACGGCGATGCTATCGTTGGGGGATAGATTTAGGAGATAAGAAAGTAGGAAGCGCGTGCTTTAACCCTGTTGTTTTCTCCTTGTGCCTGTTCCGCTAATTACTACGGGCTAAACAGGAAGTGGTACAAAAAAAAAAAAAAATGGCGGCCAATCTAAAATATACCTAAATTAAAAAGAAAGCGTCGGACAAATGGGCAATAAGGCAACAGGGGTGCTGTAATGTGATAACAGAATTTCAGGTTCAGGTTTTCAGGTACATTCCTACAGCCATACAAACATCTTGCTATATTTGGTATCTATACGCAGTACCATACAATTTTTACCCGTCACGTGTGGAACGCAACCTGCAACTCTAAGAGTTATAAATTCAGTTAAGTAATGTCAATCGACGTTTTTTGTTGGCTTGATTCCTGTTCTTTTTTTTATCCTCCTCTGTTCTTCTGTTTATCCTTTCCTCAACCTCACGCCTATGTCAAGTCTTTTCCCTTACTTTCATTCTCTGTAGCCCCTTGCGTACTAGTGGCGTTCTCGCCTTGTTTGGGGTGAAATAGGTTTTTTTTTTGTTTTTGTTTTTTTAAGTTGCTGATTAAAAACATAAACAGAAGGGACCTAGATGCCAATCTAGTAGCATGCTTAAGTTTATGTATTCTGAGCACCATGGAAAAAAAAACTCGTTAAAGCAGTTGCCATGAAAGCATTTGTATAAAAAGAGAGGAACAGGAAAAAGAAAGAAAAAGAGTGAGTGAGGAAAAGAATAAAGAGAGAGAGAGAGAGAGAGAGAAAAGAAAGAAAGAGAGAAAGAAAATAGAGAAAGAGAGAAAAGAAAGAAAGACAGCAAAGACTGAGAATAGGGGGATTGAGGAAAGGACAAAAGATGAACGAGATTCAAGAAGATAGAAGATGGAGATTGACGTTGCATTTAAATTTTTGAAGATTGTATTTATCAGGGAAGCTAGTAAACGGAAAGAAGTTTCACAGGCAGGAAGTGCGAGAAATGAAACTGCTTGAAGTGCTGGTTGTATTTAGCGATTTCAAAAGTAAACGGTTGGGACGTTGATGCCAACAGCCACTTATACTGACTTTGATTTTTGCGACACTAAGTGCCCAGATTATAACAAGAAAATGATAACGATATAGACATTCACTAAGCTTAGCCATATTTTCCCCATAGTAGTTTAAAGGTTTGTTAGATTAGCTTGTTAACCATTACCGAAGACGAAACACTCTGCGACGACATTCAAAGATTGTCAGGACAGTATGCAGTTATCTTGGAAATCTTGAGAACCGTTTGCATAGTCTTTCACGACAGTAAGGAGGTGTCCGATCTATAATAATAAAGCGCTGTGTACGTATGTCCGTCCGTCCGTTTTTCCATCTGGGCGAATCATAAACAACTTGAAGTAACACATATTAACTACTGTAGTTGCACTAGATGAAAAATTAAATAAATAACTCATTTAAAGTTAAATTTAAATATCAAACACAGTGAAAGGTTTAAAAAATCTTTATTAAATGTTCAACTTTATTTTCGTTTTTCGTCTTAATTGCAATTGCTATCATCTAATTAAACTGTAATTAAAACCTAAGCGGAGTATGGTACGTTGCTCATATGTTTTTTATTTTTATTTTTCTAGCATGCATACTGTGATGTATTCGAAATATTACATAGTTCGGGTCCTCTAATGTCTTTTAAGAGTGACTTTATATGAAAGAATCTATGGTGATTTTAAAAGAAAATAATAATTGCGCGCTAAATAAATGTATTGTAAACAAACAATGGAGATCGGTTGCGTATACGAAGAAAGATTATGTCGAAAGATTATCCGAAAAAAGATAGAATAATTTTATTATTTCTAAATTCTTATAACTTTTACGTACTCAGAACACTGAAGGTAAAAGACCGAAGGCCCTAAGGTCCTCCGCAATAGTAAATAATTTAAAATCTTTATATCGCTAAAAATATAACGAAATGAGAACTACTACACATTTAAAGTATAATTTTATTTGCTTTTTTTTAAACCATTTAACGACCATCTTTTTATATAATTATTTTTTAAAATCTCAATTTAAACAATTTTTTTTATATAAAAATTATTAGAATAAAAATATAATTTTAGAACAAATAAGCTCCGAGAATCTATTTTCAAAAGAA